AGTAACAGGAATTACTTGGATGTCATATACATTCATGGAGGGTGTGATGTGTCTGTCTATAAGAAAACAGAGGCTCCTGTACACAAACAAGGCATCAGGCTTGTAATTGAAGTGAAGAAGGTAAGTTATCATTTGAAAATGAACCATTTCATGCATATATCAACCCTGATGAAATTGTTTCTTATTATTATCACAGGAACTTCAAGGAGAAGGACATGTCAATCAAGCAATAGGGGAGTTGATTGCTGCCAATAGGCTGTCAGCTGAAAAACCAGTTTCAATGCTCACAGACTTCAAAACATTTGGATTCTTCTGGCTTGCCAATGATACTGAAGCCAAACCTGCAGTCTTCACCACTTGGTTTGCAAATGCACACAAAGCTGCAGCTTTTGCACGCATGCTTCTAAATCCTGAGCTGATACAAGAAGAAAATGCACAAAAATTTCCTACATATGAGCAACGACTTATTCTGCAGGAGTTGGCTGTGTTGGAAGAAGAAAATGAAGATGTAGGTGATCTTGGTGATTTTATTGATGAGATGTCCCCCCTGGAATGCAAAGTATATAGTATCAACAAAAATCTCAGCTGGTTTCGTCGTTATATTCCACCTGCTTATCAGCAGTCATTTGTGCACAAAGTCTTCGTGCATGATGGGATTTTGGATTACATATACTAAGTAATGTGATTTGAATAACTTATTAATGTATTAATATCTCTATTACAACTTGTGAAGAGAAAATTTAATTCTCATTCGCTGTTACCTATTTAGTCTAAAGCTTAATTTTTCTGATCATCTTTGGTGTGCAGAAAATCAAATAAAATACTAGACCCGTTTCTGACGAATGAACAATAAGTCTTATATAAAAAATACATATATAGGATTACCCGTATATGAAAAATAGTGAATACAACGGTTCGACTGAATTTGAAAAAGCAATACGTTTCTTGGAGACAGGTTGCAGTTGTGGTTGCTCAAAAACAATTTCGAGAGAAAGGTTTGCCGAATTACGTGAAGCGTTTCAGGCTCTCTCTAGATCCGAACAAGATATATTTTTAATGGCCCAGTTGAAAACGATGAATGGTGGGGAGATAATTGCCAGTCGACGTCTTAAAAAGAAAAAGCGTACTAATAAGCGAACGTTTTATTACTGAGATCGCAATACGCCGCCTTGTCAGAAAACGTATCTCAATATGTTAGGAATTGGTCGCTTCGAAAACGTCAGAAACCATCTAACAACGAATGGTATAATACCGCGCGTTCATGGTAACATAAAACGAATGCCACGATGGAAAACTAAAATAACCATTGATATAACCGTTGCTACCGCTGTGAAGAATTTTCTCGAAAACTATGCTGAAATACATGGATTACCAAGTCCTGGTAGAAACGTCAACCGAATTACTCAATCGCTTACACTTTTGCCAACCGAAACGAGTTACAAATCGGTCTATCGTGATTTTATTGCAGGTCTCGAAAACAATAGCACATTGAGATTGTTAAAATATGATGCGTTCCGCAAATGATGGCACCAATTAACGCCTTATATTCAAATTATGAGTCCAAGAACGGATTTATGTGACACATGCCAACATTTTCGGAATTGCTTACAGTATAATGCTCGCAAGGAAGAAGAAGCAAGAGACTTACTAAAAAAATTCAAAGAACATCTAGTTAAAGCTAAGTTAGAGAGAAACTATTACAACAAAAATACAAAATTAGCAGAACAACAGAGGAAATTGGTAGATGAGCAGTTTATAATAAAAGGTAAAGCTGATTATTGTAGCGTTGACGCTACTGCTCATTAAAGTTACGATTGAGCGCAAAACGTTCATGTTCCCCATTCCGATCAACAGGTAAGTAGGATTTATTATCTCAGTCCGCGTAAAGTATATTTATTTGGTATTCAAGATGAAGCAGTACGCGAACAGATTAATTACGTTCTCGATGAGAACGAAATAATAGGCAAAGGTCCTAATGGTATGCTGAGCAAGGTTTTCGACGGCATAAAGAAATTGAATAAAGGTGAAAGTATTTAAAGATCACTTGCGATAATGCGGGTGGTCAGAATAAAAATAATATTACCCTTTGATTTTACCTATATTTAGTAAGTTGCGGTTATTATGAAAGTATTGAATTGAACTTTATGGTACCTAGACATACTAAATTCAAGTGTGATGGTAGTTTTGGGTTAATTAAAAAACTCTATAGAAAAACAACAGTAGATTGTGTGGATCATATTGTTAAAGTTGTGAAAAAATCGAGTACAGCAGGATTAAACAAAGATCAGTGTTATGACAAGGGAAAAGGTTTTCAATACTTAGATTTTAATTCTGTATTGGGAATTTTCTTTAAAAAATTGAGTGACTTACAAAAGTATCAGCACTTTTTCTTTGAAGCAGCAAATCCTGGAGTTGTCAGGGCTCAGCTGGTTGCTAATGGTGCTTTTACTGAATTTAATTTGTTGAAAAACAGAAAAGTAACTGTTTCTGAAATTACTAAAGAGATTAAATCTTTTTCTATTTTAGTTCTAAGGACGCCTTTTTTGGATTACAAAAGACAAGAATATCTTTATCATAATATTCGTCCATTTGTTAGAGATGAATTTAAAGATATCACTTGTCCAAGACCAACCTATACTGATAATGAATAAAAATATTACAGTCAACCACAAATTTTATTACTTAATTAGTTTTTATAAAATTCTTTATATTTAATCTTTTAATGATATTAATATTAAAATATAATATAGAAATTAAAATTATGACATTCAAAAAAATGATATAAATACAATAGACGAAGCAAAAGAATATTAATTATTATGGAGGAGTCCTTAAACCAGAAGAAAAGTCTATCTTTGATAGTAATCTTTTAAAACCAAATGGTAATGGCACTTTAGATGTTTTCCTTTTGCAAGATACTGCTCAATTATTAAATAATTGAAAAGAGTCTAAGGACAAGGTAAAAACTGAAACTATGGGCTTAACTACTGAGGGTTTTGCTTTTGTTTGTAGCACAAAAGGCTGAATCTATTCCTTATCAATACTAATACAAAAAAGTCTAAAAGGTTATATAATACAAGTTGTTGCGCAGCAGTTTGCAATGGGATTACGTAGTTAGAATATTACCTCTAACCAAAAACTATTTCTTCTCATTCTTGTTAACACTTTCCCTTTCTATTCATTGATCTATTCTTCAATATTCCCACCTCCTATGATATAATATCAACGAACGGGAAAAGACTATTTTCTTCTCCTTTTTATTGCTCTTAGAAATCCCATCATCTTAATCTATTATCACCGAAATTTGCCCATCATCCTACATCCTTCATTATACGCTTATAGAATCATAATTGTATTGTCGCTACGCATATGACTCGCCACGATTACCATATGTCTAGACGAATATTCCCGATCCCACATATTCCTTCTAAGATTCAAGGAGGCATAACCCACCGAGCGTAGAGTACTTGACGTGTAACTAAGCGTTCCTTCAACCCTGTATACTCTTTCTTAGTCCAGTGTATGATATAATAACTCTTCGAGCGGCAACGTAATACAAGTAACTTATTAATCATAATATTGTCATAGGCTAACGATATCCTTAATTGATATCGAAGTTAATCTCCGGTTTAGTGAATTAACTAGTCAGTAATACCAATTATAAATACCTTCAATTATTAATTGAGGGAGATAATTGTCGAATATCTTACGAGAGAAAGCCCCACTAACCAACATGAGTCATTACCCAGGCGGGAATGTTATTCATACCTAGCAGTTGGTAGCAATGGCAATGAAATGTAGAGATTGAGTTACCTCTTCGATGTCGTGTTATGTGAAATAACCACCACGAACAATAAATCGTTCGGTATATTTTATCCAACAATTATAATTAAGCGACGTACTGTATACGCACTAGAGTAATAATATTAATACCATCGGCACTTGGCTTCATGTTGACTAAGAAAGTTATTAAATGTTTGCACGAAAGAATACATAATTAAACCGCTACGTTATAAGCCGACGGGAAAACGCCCATTTTTGATACAAATAATAATATTAACATCTTTAACCCTTGTTTTTAGCGACGCGCTTGCTTACGAACGCTTTTACTTCATACTTAAGCATGATCTTTCTCAACAAATAACTATTATTCCATTAACTTAAAGCTTTTATTATCGTAGCGGAAGTCTAATAATAAAATCAGCTTTCATAAGCAACGTTTATAACCGAGTTTCTTCTTCACGAATAATTGTCTCAGGAGACTTTTAGAGCAAAATTGCATTTATTATTCTTTTCGCTGTGCATTAAAAAAATAAATATATATAAAATTTTTTGTTTTGTATAAATTTTCCAAAAAATAATCAAACTTGCGTCATTGAAAAGATAAAATAAACCAACAACAACATTTGGCGTGTGTTTTTTGTTTATAACACACTTTATTCTATCTCTTTTTCTAATTATCGTTTAAAAGGACTTTTGGTCAAGAAAACGTGTATATTACACTTGCATAACCAATGGCCAAAAAAATACTAGGACAAATATACCTCTTGCTACAATTTATAATAATTAAAAAAGGAGAAGTGTAGCTCATGCAAGAAAATGGTCGGCCAAAGAAGATCACTGGTGAAGCGTTGTAAGCATTAGGACAGTATATACAAAGAGATACCACTCTTTCAACCAAAACTTTGGTAATTATGTTAATTAAGAAAGACATTAATGTTTCTCATATAACTATTTTGAGACATTTGTCTAATCTTAATTACTCCAAAAGTATACCAATGCTGAAGTTATAAATTAAAAGCTTGGCTGGCTGTTTAAATTATCGATTTTCCGTTACAGTCCCCGGCGAAAAGAATGGCGGTGACAATCGTTTTTAAAGTTTTTATAAAAATTCGATACAAAAATCGGTTA